TGTCCATTTTTTCTTGGCTCCCAGAAGCCAGCGACCTTTGCCTGGGGGTTGTGTGAGCCCCTGGTTTTCACCCGCGGATCCTAAGCGTTGTCCAGGCAGGATTCGCTAGAGGAAGGAGATAGTTAAGGCGGCCCCCATTCTGGGTGGATCAGGGTGAGTCTGTGGCCTGCGTGGGAGGCTTTTGTTTCTTAGTTACGCTGTTTCTTGGGTGAGGGAACATCGGCTACAGTTTCTGAGCATCTTTGTGCAAGGTGCTGTGTTCCTCACTACAGACCGCGTTGCTAATCCCCTGAACAAGAATTGCACGGCAGGAATTGCTTGTTTTATTTTGCAGAGAGGTTGAGTTCACTTGCTCAGTGTCTCCCAGCCAGGACGTGGCGGGGCAGGACTGCCTGCTGTATCCTGTGGCCTCTTGGTGACGTCAGCTCCTCGGTCCTGTCCTGGGAGAGGACCTCAGGAGGCAGAGCGGAGGGTCTCATGCAGCAGCCCGTGTCGTGTGTCAGTGAGAGAAACCACAAGGAAGCCGCAGGGGCCACAGTGCCCCAAAGTTCTCCCAGCTGCCTTGTCGGCGTTCCTGAGACTTCTGCGCTTGAACCTCCTTGGAGGGCCCACCCTCCGGGCCCCCAGCGCCGGCACCAAAACTGGCAGAGACCTGTCCCGTGTGGAAACAGCTTCCCTGGTCCAAGATCTCTGAGACCTCATCACTATTGTGACTCTGTGGTTCCTGGGGAGGGACCTGAGGCCCAGAGGGGATCCCAGAGCTGCCCAAGGTCACCCCACAAGTAAAGAGTGCATGTTTGAGGTGGACATGGGACGATGACAAGGACATTGGTGAGTGTCTGAAATTGAGATGTCGCCTGCATATCAGCCCCATGGCTGGTTGTCTGGGGTCACATCCCATACGATGCCACCTGCAAGAGTGTGGCAACTCTTAAAAATCCCTGCCACTTTCAAGGCCCCCTCAGTGCGGTAGTTGTGCTGAGCACTTAGCCTGTATGGATCATCTTTGATCTGCAGGATAACCCTGCAGGCAGGTGTTCTCATGTCCCAGTTGAGGACCTGATGGAGGCAGAGAGGTTATTGACCTGAAACCACACAGTTTGTGTGTGTGTGTGGCGGGGGGGGGGGGGGGGGGGGGGAGTCGAAACCAAAATTCAAAAATTTTTGATGTTTATTTATTTTCGAGAGAGAGAGTGCGAGCAGGGGAGGAACAGAGAGAGGGAGACACAGAATCGGAAGCAGGCTCCAGGCTCCGAGCTGTCAGCACAAAGCCCCACACGGGACTTGAACCCACAAACCGTGAGATCATGACCTGAGCCGAAGTCGGACGCCTAACCGACTGAGCCACCCAAGCGCCCCACTGGTCCCAAATTCAAGTCTTCCTGCCTGACCCCCAAAGCTTTTCAGTAGCACCCCCTGACTTTCTAGAAGCTAGCCACGTGATTAGAAATGTGCTTTTAAATGTGATTATTTGTGTATTCTCTTCTACCAGACAATAGGCTGAGCCAAGGGAAGAGGTTTTCGCCCATGTCAGGCAGACAGGGAGCAGCAAGTGATTGCCAGGCCGGGAATGGATGTGGGCTCGGGGCATGTGGGACGAGAAGGAGGCCCTGAGGGTGCAGGACACTTACACAGTGAAGGATGGGGTTGGGAAGGTGTGCCATTGCGTGATCAGACCATTAGTGATCAGACATTAGTGATCAGACCAACTTGGGCAATGCCCTGGAAGCCAGGGGGCACTGAGGTTAAAGGTCCCCAGAGATCAGGGAAACTAAGGTATGGTTCTTGTGAAACCCCAAAGGTAGCTTTCTACCCACGTATCTATGCGCTCAACACATCATTCTAGAACAGCTACTTGCACCAAGCACTGTGGCATGTTGTCTATATGCCTATCTTGCTGGGGGGCTGGGCTGGGACCTAGGAGATGGAGCGTGGTGTTCACTGGAGGCTTTTCAGAATGGGGACAGCAAGGAGGTGGGGGCGGGCTGGACATACAGAGGGAAGCAAAGGGACAGTCTCGTGGAGAAGAGAAGCCGTAAAATGAGCTCCTAGTAAGGTGCTGCTGGACTGTAACAGGGGCCAGAACAGATCATCTCACTGCTGTCAGAAGTAACCCAATTTTTTTTTTTAATTTTTTTTTTTCAACATTTATTTATTTTTGGGACAGAGAGAGACAGAGCATGAATGGGGGAGGGGCAGAGAGAGAGGGAGACACAGAATCGGAAACAGGCTCCAGGCTCCGAGCCATCAGCCCAGAGCCCGACGCGGGGCTCGAACTCACGGACCGCGAGATCGTGACCTGGCTGAAGTCGGACACTTAACCGACTGCGCCACCCAGGCGCCCCAGAAGTAACCCAATTTAAAAGAGAAGGTGGCCCCCTGAGAAGAGGAAGTGACATGTGTAAAGAAGTAAGCATGTGGGATCAGGGATGATGGCCTTTGTGGTCATAGCTCTTGAGCCCTTAGGGAGCACTTCAGCTCTTTGAGATCCAAGCCACAGTGACGGGGTTGTGCTCACTCCAGCTGAGTTGGCTCAGAGGGAAGTTTCTGGATCACCAGCTAGTCACTGGCCAAGGGCCACCCTGGGGACTGAGCGAATGCCCATCAAGTGGCTTCGGGAGCCCAAGGCCGGTGCTCCCAGGTGAGCTGCTGGGCAAGCCCTGGGAAGCGCAAGGAGCAGACGCCCGGGAGGGGCATCCAGAAGGAGTCCAAGGGACCCGGGGCATCTGTGTGGAACCTGGATGGCATCTGCTAGAGGGGGCGAAGCAGAGGGAGGGGCCAAGGGCTGGCCAGGTTGATCCTGGGACCTGGACGTGCTCCCAGTCTGTCCCCCCTCCCCCCTGTTGCCCTCCCAGACCGTTTCCAAGCCTGGGCCTCTTGGGCTCAGTTTTCTCCAGAGACTCTTTCCATGGCCTCCCGTGGATAGGAGGGGATGTCTCCTCACCACATGGCAGGGGATACTCACTGGGGGTCCAACTCCCCGAATAAAGACTTTCCACCACTCCCCTCTTTCCCATACCAGGCTTCTGTGGTTCCACCCGCTCCAAGTGCTTTGAGAGTCGTCAGCTGTTCTGTGGAGTACCCTTGACCTTGTTGCTCCCGTCTTCCTCTGCAGGCCCTTATGTGAAACTTCGGTGCTATTACATCAGTCATCTTGCCTCCATTTGCTTCCAAACAGTCCGTGAACTCTCACTTGCTGTTGTCTCTTTGTCTTTGCGGCCCCGTCATCCTCCAGGGGCAGGGAAACCGTGGGTGATACAACAACCCAATCTGTCATTGCACGGGGAACCAGTGCTTCAGCTGTCCTCCCATCAGCCTGCCTGGGACCGATGCCCAGCCCGGTCATCGGAGGCAGGACTGGAGTTGGGCTTTGGAGCCAAGGTTCTGAATCAAGCAGAGGCAGGGCTTGAGTGAGAAGTCAGGGTGCAGGGCAGAGCTCCAGGTGACTGCCAGGCCAGGCTGAGAAGTAGGTATGACAGGCTGGCCAGGACAGAGCACACAGAAACTGGGGCTCTGACGAGGGCAGGGTGAGCTGGTGGGGCTGCCCTCGGAGGCCAGGCCTCAGGCTGTCCGGTCAGGGCACATCCTAGATGAGCGAGCCTGAGGAAGCAGGAGGGAGGTAGTGAGTAGTGAAGCCCCCAGCCCTGCAGAAGCAGAAGGAAGGGAGAGAAGACAGGAGAGACGGAGGTGTGGGAGGGACTCGCTGGGCACGGCAGGCAGTGTCCTGGCACCAAAGCAGCAGAAGCCATGCCTCCCTGGGTCGGGGCTGAGGGTGTGCTCTGCTTTGGAGCAGAAGCTGTTTGTCCACGGCCCTCCATGATGGCTCCTGGTCAAGGTGGGTTGTTGGCCCTGCAACCCAAGGTGAGGCTAAGCAAAGGTCCTGGAGTTGGGGAGGAGAGGCCGGTGGGCATAGGGTCATGTAACAGGAAGGAAAAGAGACAGACAGTCCAAGGCTCAAGGGAGTGTCACTCTGGAGGAAGCCACCCAGTGGCAAATGGTTAAAAATCATGGCGGCCTTTCCTCGGGGGAGCCTAGAGACCAGGGGGCTCTGTCCCTTGGGGGAGACTGTTGGGGGAGAGCCGATTTATTAAAAGTTCCATTAAGATTCATCTCTGACTGCACCGTAGCAGTAAAAGGCAGCCTGTGTGGCACATGCCTGGATCCTCTACAAAACCCATCTTTAAACTCATCCTGTGGTGGGAAGGAACATTCAGCGAAGAGCCAATGTGGGCGGGTCAGGGAGGGCCGGTGCCCAGCCGGAACAGACAGGCATGCTTCCCTCCCAGACAGGCTACTGCAGCGGCCAGGGTGCCAGTCTTGCGGGCTCAGAACCAGACTTGTCAACTTGCCAGGATGGACCCGTCTCTCCAAGAAGGAGTCATCCTGACCCAGTTCACATGACTGATGTATAAAATGTCAACATAGCCTTTCCTAGTGAGACACGAACGTCGTGAAGACCAACTTTCTGCCTAGGCGTAATTAGTGCATTTGTGTTTCTAGGAAACAGAAGTTCACTTGGTGAAAATGGAATCAGAATGTGGGAGTTGGACCACTTAGATATTTAATGGCATGAGACTGTTACGGCCCATATCGTCACCTCCTTGATGGGATGCCTTTGCCAGCAGCCAGATAACCTCGATTTGCATTAACTAAGCTCCTTGGACTGTATTTGAGGGATGTCGCCAGCCTTGGTTTCCATGCTCGAACAAGCTCTTAGCCCTACAGATGAGCACTTTAAAAAAAAAAATAGCATTAAAAAAAATTCCATCAGGGGAGCCTGGATGGTTCAGTCGGTTGAGTGTCTGACTTCAGCTCAGGTCATGATCTCACGGTCTGTGGGTTTGAGCCCCACGTCGGGCTCAGTGCTGACGGCTCAGAGCCTGGAGCCTGTTTCGGATTCTGTGTCTCCCTCTCTCTCTGACCCTCCCCCGTTCATGCTCTGTCTCTCTCTGTCTCAAAAATAAACATTAAAAAAAAAAAATTAAAAAAAAACTCCATCAAAGGAGAAAAATCACTCATTCTGTCGTATCAGGGGTTTTTTGATTACAAGAGGTGAAACTTAAGTTAACTTCAGCAAACGTTAATTTATCGGAAAGAAATGTGAGAGACGGTGTCTGGGTTCTCCGGAGACACAGAGACTGAGGCTGAGAGAGATTTATTTTAAGCAGTTGCCTCGGTGGCTATGGGGGTTGGCAAATTCAACATTTGCAGGGCGGGCTGGCAGCCTGGAGACTCAGGCAGGACTCCTATGTGGCAGTCTTGGGGAGGATGCCTTCAATATATCTGGTTCTTCTCACATTTTCAGTTCTGGAGGCCAGAAGTTCAAGGTCAGGGTGTCAGCAGGCCTGGTTCCTTCGGAGGGCTGTGAGGGTGAGTACGTTCCGGGTGTCTCTCCTTGGTTAATAGATGCTGTCTTCCTGTTCATGCGGGGTTCTCCCTATCTGTGTGCCCGTGTCCTCTGCCAGGACCCCATTTCCAAATAAGCTCGTATCCTGAGGTACTGGGGGTTCGGACTTAAATACATGAATTGGGGGGAACGCAATTCAGCCCATAACAAGACTAAGTTCAGAGGCGAGGAGAGAACCAGGCTTGGGCGTGGCCAACAGCCAAGGCAGTTCTAGAAGCTTTGCAGCAGGAATTGCAGGATCTGACCCGGGGCCTGCGCGCTCGGGGCCGGCAGCTGCCTCTTAGCTTCCCCAGAGGATTGGCCCCCTACGTCCACTTGCTGTGTCTGTCCCTCATTCAAACTTCAAATTCTAGGGAGGAGCAGTTGACCGGCCCGCTTGAGTCACGAGCCTGTCCCTTAGCCAGGCAGTGGGGCGGAGGGGGAGGGGCAGGCCAGCTGTGGTCCCACCGGGACGCGCCGTGGGAGGAGGGGTCACTCCGATCTTGCATGCTGGGGAGCTGTTAGGAAGAGGAAATGGAGGCAGATAGCACAGAGGTCCAGCCCTATCTCTTTTCAGAGGCGGTCACCCCTCTGCTGAGGTCCAAGCGTACTGATTTCATGGCCTGATTCTCAGGTTTCACAGAGGTGGACTGTGAGCCTCAGAGGCATTCGAGATGCCTGTGGTTTGAGCTGGCCAGAGGCCTGTCTGGGAGCCAGGAGGCCCAGGTGTCCTGGATGTCCTCCGGTCAAGCCCTGGGCCCGGGCCAGCCCTCTCTTCCAGGAAACACTTGGCCAGGTGAGTTCTACGCACCCGGTCTGAATGCCTATACTTGCAGTGTGTGCGTGGAGAAAGCTCTGGGCTTGGCCTCCTGGGTTGCTATAGCTCGTGAGTCCCCCTTTCCTAATCTCCTCCTAAAAAACTGGTGTCGGGGAGGGAGCTGAGGCTGTATTTCAGGGCGGCTGACACAGCGAATGCACCTGACTGTCAGCGCTTGTCTGCCAGGACCCGGGAAGAACCCGCCGGCATCCCTTCCGGGTACGTGGGCCATCCACCTCCGGGCCCAGGCCAGGCCTCCTGTGAGGCCAGCCCCCTGTGCCGCCCAGACTCCCTTCCTGTCTTTGACGGGGAAATGCAGAGCTTTTCTGCACCCAGCCCACCACCACACAGACTTCGCCGGGGACAAGAGAGGACTGTGCGGCACAGAGGTAAGGCCGAGGCCTCCCCCAGCCCTGGGCATGCCCCTGCCCCCGTCCCTACAGCCCAGCCTTTGCTCAGAGAGGACTCTGCCTGTGGCCAGCTTGCCATGCAGCATCTCTGGGCACAGCCACTGAAGCCCAGGGTCTGATGGGCCACAGGGCCTGGGACTGTCAGAGGAATCACAGAGGCAGAGGTGTCTGAGCTATAGGAACGTGAGTTAGGAGATGAGGCTCAGAGAAGAGTCAGTACTTCTCAGCTGGCAGTAACCAGATGCCAGGCTGGTTCCCAGTCACTGACTTCTGCTGCCTGAATGTTTCTCAGACGGGGTCCCCCTGGGACCGTTTGGGTGCTCAAGAATTCTTTTTTTTTTTTTTTTAATGTTTATTTATTTTTGAGAAAGAGAGAGAGAGAGAGAGAGAGAGCACGAGCAGGGGAGGGGCAGAGAGAGAAGGAGACACAGAATCCGAAGCAGGCTGCAGGCTCCAAGCTGTCAGCACAGAGCCCGACGCAGGGCTCGAACCCGTGAACTGCGTGATCATGACCTGAGCCGAAGTCAGACGTTCAACTGACTGAGCCACCCAGGCGCCCCAAGAATTCTTTACAAAGAATCTTAACTGGAGCATTTGTAATCGAAGCAAAATCTGAAAAGAATTATCACGGGCATGGTCTCGACCATCCCGACAAAGCTCTTATAACTGGGGACTGCCGTGGACTGTCGGGGCCCACCCTGCTTCGAGGACACTAACCATGTGGGGCTGTTCGAACTACTGCAGGCTGATGAAGAACTGAGAGAAGCCAGATGACATCATGGCCCAAGGGAGGCCAGCAGGGAGGGGAGGAGAGGGGCAGGGCCCTGCCGGAGGGGGGCGGGGGCTGTGGCTCTGGTGGCTCCGAGGCCTGTGGGTTCCGGACAGCCTCTGGTAGCTTCTGAGCATGTAGCTACTCTGACACAACCCTATGACTCACGTCTCATCCTGGCTCAGCTACTGGAGCCCCAAGCCAGAGGCAGAATTTTCTAGGCTGTGTGGCAACAAGATCAGCTATCCTGAGAGAATTGGCCGGTGCTGAGGTTGGGGGCGGGGGTTGCAGCAGAAATGGGGAGGCTCTGAGTCATCCCAGGGCGGCAGGAGAGCTGGGGGCCTGGGACTGGAAGGGTCACAAAGAAGAAACTGCCCCCCCCCCCCCCACACACACACACACAGCACTCTCCATCCGGGTCCTTAAGATTTCTGTGCCTCCAAGTGGCTCGGTTGTCCACGAGCTACCCTCTCCCTACTCGCGGAGAGGCACCTAACACAGGGTTCTTCATTCGCTCCCTGAGGACAGCCTCGTGGAAGAGGGGCTGAGCCAGGCAGGTGCCAGGACGCCCATGGCAGTCCTTTGTGCCCTGTGTGGAACTGGACTCCTCTGGGACAGGTGGATGTCCTCCCATGGTGCATTGGGTCTCTGCGATGTTGGTCATGGGTTCTGTTTGGGCCTCTGAGAAGCCACGCTCTGCCCTGCCCTGGAGGTGTTGACAGAGTGGCCTGGAAATCTGGGTCAGCAACGGGCAAGTCCCTACAGGTGGGCCCCAGTGCCAGGAGAGACAGGCCTGGCTCTAACAAAGCTATGAGCTCAGCTGGGGACTGAGAACCCACTGTTATGACACATCTCATTTCCATGCCCGCCCAGAAACCCTTTGTGAGGAGGCAGCGTGGCATAAGGAGAGGACGGGAGCTCGGCAGTCACCCAGGTTCTGGACCCGGCTTGCAAGTCTGACTGTGGGTCGTCACAGCCAGAGGGGACCCTACGATGCCCCCACTCCCTGGGGTTTGGATTGGGGCATCTTAGGGTCCCCTCTGGCTGACCCTTTGGCCGCTGATTTCCTCTGGAGCTGGCTGGCTGGTCCTGCAGCGGAACGGAGATGAAAGAATAAACCCTCACAGTTATCAAAATCCTTATCCCCAGCCTTCCCAGGACAGCCTAGACCAAGGCCACAGGTCCCCTAGGGTCACTGCTTCAAAAGGGGGACAGGCCCTCAGTCGACTCCATTTGAAGCCAGGCTCCAAGAAGCTTAAGAAAGGGTTAGGTTCTGCAGGCAGTGGGTGTGAAAATTCCTTTGCTGCAGATGCTCTGAACAATTCATGAATTTTTCTCTCATTTATACATTTACCCATCCATTCATTTCTCCTGCTCGTCCGTTCATGAACAGATCAGACTCAGCTGATGCCCTCGAGCGGCTGCAGCAGCTTCTAGGCTAGAGGAAGAGTGATGGTCCCGGTTCATCCAGTCCCAGGCAGCACCACAGACCTGGGCTTGAGGCATCATCCACGAGGGGGCAGGAGGACAGCCCTGCACTGAGGGTCCCAAATCCCCAGGGAGAGAAATGCACAAAAGCTGGGTATTATCATTATTTTCCCATTTCACAGATGGGAAAACTAAGACTTAGAGAGAAAGGTGGGTGGCCCAAAGTCACACAGAGTCCAGATTGACCCAGGAACCTGGAGAGAGTCAAGAGAGGAGGACAGGAGCAGGGCAGCAGGGAGGGAAGGAAGAGAAAAGGAGGTCTCCGGAGCTCAGGCTGGAATGGGCGGGGGAAGTGCAGAGATGTTCCCCGCCCCAGACTGGCTCCACCTGGCCTTCCTCGGTCCCTTTGCCTGAGGCCTGGACCCTGGGCTCCCAGGCATCCACCCCTCCCGCCCCACCTGGTCCCTGCGGCACAGCCAGCGCCCCAGCTGCTGTGCACTCCTGCCCTCTGGTGGCAAGATCTGGAAACGTCACCACTGCACCCCTGGCCTGTCTCGTGGAAACTGGACGCAGGTCAGTTCAGCACCTTCTGTGCCCCAGACCCTGAGCTGGAGATCAGAGAAAAAGGGAAATGGCCTTGTTTGTGCGAGCGCATGGTTTAGGGGAGAGGCCAGAGGAGAGACAGACCTTGACCATACAATGAGGAAGGGACTTGGCGGGGAGGAGCTTGGGGTGTCACGTGATAGGACTGTTTTAAAACGAGGCAGTCCTGGGGCGCCTGGGTGGCTCAGTCGATTGAGCGTCCGACTTTGGCTCAGGGCATGATCCTGTGGCTCGTGAGTTCGAGCCCCGCGTCGGGCTCTGTGCCGACAGTCCCTCTCTCTCTGGCCCTCCCTGCTACTCTCTCTCTCTCTCTCTCTCTCTCTCTCTCTCAAAAATAAATAAACATGAAAACAAACACAACAACAACAAAAAAATGAGACAGCCCTAGATCTGTGAGTAGGGGCCTTTCCCAGACGCAGCCCCCGCTCTGGAGGCCCTAGGCTGCCCCTCCGGGGTGGGAAGTGTGCTGCAATACTGGTCTGTCTGAAGCCAGAGTCCCAGAGCCACAGGACACCTGAGGGAGGTTTTCAGCCGTGTCTGCAGAGGAGCCTCAGGGGTTGTGGGGTGCGTGGGGTGCGTGGGATGGGTCCCACGGCTTCTCACTGTCCTCACCCGGCCTCACACTGGAGAGGCCAAGTAACGAGTCGGTTAAGTGCTGGGTTTTAGAGCCGGACCGCACAGGGCTTTACAGCGTCATGTGACCTTGAACAGGTGTCTCGGGACCTCAGTGTCCCCATCGGATGCTGGTAGAAGACTGTGACCACCTCCGAGGGGTGTCGTGAGGATTAAAGACGTGGGCACAGGAGAGGCACGTGGCACAGCGTTGGACACGTGGTGAGTGCCGTGTACTCCGGCCCTTCTTTCTTTTGCAAGGTGTTTCCTCGGTCACTGTCCTGGCAGATGGTGCCCATGGGGGCAGAGGCCCAGGAAGAGGTGTCTCACCCGAGGACACTGTGGGAGCCGTGGCCGCACTGAGCCTGGAGCCCCGGAGCCGGGCACCGTCCATTGAGATCACGCGGGAGCTGGTTGGACACGAAGACTCTCAGGCCCTGCCCCAGACCCACAGACTCGGAATCCGCACTGTAACAAGAGCCTGGCTGATCCGTGTGCCCGTTACAGACGCGGGGTGAGCGTGTCTGGGCAACTGCACGGAGGTGGATAAGGAGCTGAGGGTGATGCCAGCCCCCCGGGGCAGCACCTGCGCCTGGCTCTGGAACTCTCGGGGCGTTGGCTCCTGCAGTCAGCCAGGCCTGCGCACGGTCACAGCCGTGCTGGCGAGTGAGTGCTGAGCTGGAAGCAGGCCCCGAGTCCCCTGTGAGCCTAAATCTCCCCGGGGGAAGTCAGGAATCTGAGCCAATACATGAGGAGAAAACTGGAATTGGCCAGGCTGACCTGGGAGCAGCGGGTGGGGATTCCAGCAAAGGGGGCGGCCTGTACCAATTCCTGAGCTGTGTTTTCGGAGGACAGGGTTTTGCAGACTTTACCCGAACACTGTCAGGGCCCAGGGCAATTGGAAGCCCCCGTGCTCTGTATCTGCACATTCAAAAGTTATAAATCAAAAAACTCACAAACTATTAAATACACTGTTCTAGCCTCTTACCTTGATGAATAAGCTTCACCTAGAAGTGCAGGTTCAATTTTAGAATTTTTGGCCTCCTTGGAGTCCGGTTCCAAAACACAACGGTGTGGGGGCGCCTGGGTGGCTCAGTCGGTTGAGCGGCCGGCCGACTTCAGCTCAGGTCATGATCTCACGATCTGTGAGTTCAAGCCTGGCGCCAGGCTCACTGCTTTCAGTGTGGAGCCTGCTTCAGATCTTCTGTCCCTTTCTCTCTGCCCCTCCCCCACTTATTCTCTCACACTATCTCAAAAATAAATAAAAAGCGTTTTAAAAATTAAAAAAAAAAAAAGACAAAACACAATGGTGTGGGCTGAGCCAGGTCCTGACCATACCGCACCCCACCAGGAGGACTCACACATGTGGGCACACACACACACACACACGCAGTGGGCCCAACCCTCCCATACCACACCCCTCCCCCTACACACAGCTCTCCTTGGCATGTGCACAGGGGATGGGTGGGCCCCAGGATGAGAGACCCATGGAGTCCCTGGAGAGGGGAGGATGGTCTGAGAAGACTCATTCATCATAACCCTGTGAGGAGGGCCCCAGCTGAAGAGGCCTTGTGACAATTAAAGTGTGACATACCCTTAATGAGAAGATTCACTGATTTCAGGGATGTTAAAATGTGGAAAAAATATGCATCTTAGATTCTGCCCCCTGCCCGTGAGAATTTGTTTAAACTGAATGTCAATTTGCACAGTATTAACAATATTAACAATTTTCAATCGTAACAATATTTAGTCTTCCACTCCATGGACGTGGGATGCCTTTTCACTTATAACAATTTTCAATCGTAACAATATTTAGTCTTCCAATCCCTGGACATGGGATGCCTTTTCACTTATAACAATTTTCAATTGTAACAATATTTAGTCTTCTGATCCATGGACATGGGATGTCTTTTCATTTATTTAGGTCTTGAGTGTCATTAAATGATGTTTTATAGTTTTCCATGTAAAGTCTTGCACTTCTTCACATGGTGTTTTTATATTCATTTCCTCTCTGAAGACCTGCAAACCCTCTGTGAAGTAGGCTTGGTGGTCATGATTAACTCCATTTTGTAGATGAAAGAAGCCTCAACCAATTAGTGGCAGAGCTGGGATTTGAACCTGTATCCCCTGTCCTCCGGCAGCGCTGGGGCTGGACTTGCTCTGATGGTAGCTGCTTGTCCCAGCACCTCCCTGCACAGGAACAGAACGTCTCTCCTCCATCCCTGTGCGGGGGAAGCTGGCTGGCCGGGTGGCAGTCTCCTCTTCCCCGCTGACTTGGAGGGTGGGACAGGGGCAGGGCTGGAGCCAGATGCTCAGGGTCAGGGAAGGAATGTCCAGGGGAAGGTTCTCCATGCAGGCCACAAGCAGGGAGGGAACCTGTTTGGTTTTAACGGTGTCCTCCGCCCTTGGCTGCAATGCAAATCACTGGAGTGCTTTAAAAATTTCCAGTGTCCAGGCTCCACATCAGACCATTTAAAGCCTAACTCCAGGGAGCAGGGTCCGGAATCTGTGATTTTAAACTGCCCCGGTGAGTCTGCAGCCCAGGCTGGGAACCACTGGGTTAGATGTTGAAGTGAGCTGTCAGTCCTGACCCATCACTCTGCCAGGGTGGTGGGGCAGAGGACTCCAGACTTCAGACCCACACAGACCAGGCCACCATCCCAGGTGTGAACCTTGGGTCTGTCTCACAAGTTCTATGTCCCTGGACCCGTCACCTCTCTGAACCTCGATCTGTTAATCCATAAGATGGGGACAATTACACCTACCTTGAGACGGGTAGTCTGTCTCTCTTCCCTTGAGTCTGGACGGGCCTGTGATGGCTTTGACCAAGAGGGTACAACAGAAGGGGCACTGTGCCGGCTCTGGGCCTAGACTTCCGCCTCCTCGGCCTCTTACGTGACTTTTCCGGTAAGGAGAACAAGACTGACAGACAACTTGCCCGGGGGGATGGGGGAACAGTGTTCAACCCCTCACTGCTTTCCTGCCTCTGAAGGAGGGAATGGCAACATCTGGAACAACAGACTTGGCCGGGCTTTCCAAGTCTGAGTCCCTGTTCGGCCATTCCCCTGCTGTGTAACCTTGGGCTGGTTGATTACCCTCTCTGCACATATGCCTCCTTTTTGTCATTATCACTTAGATGATAATAATGGCGCCCACCTCAAGGCTGTTGCAGGGTTTAACTGAGAGGGACACCTAGCACTATGAACCCTACATATGGTAGCTGTTTGGCTCACTGACTTCCAACGGCCCCTATAGACACCAGGGGGCAGGGAAGCCTTCTCTGGGTGGGGGCCCCTTGGCTCTGTCCTGATGAAGTGGCTGCAGATTATTTTTAACTGGGAGGCCTGCCAGCCTTTGTGGCGAGGTTATTCGGGGTCCGGCCGCAGCTGTGCAGGTCTGGCGGCTTATTTTCGAAGAGGAAGCCCGGAAGGGCCTGGGAAAACCCCCTGTTTCCCACTAGTCCCCTCGTTTTCCCTCTGGAGACAACAGAGCCATCCAGGGGGTCTCAGGGTGGGGCAGGATTTCCCCTCTTGGGGAAGGGCCCTCACTTCCGCCCCAGAGCTTGTGCATCAGAAATCAGGCGGGGCCGGCGGGGGCAGCAGATGTGCTTATCCTCCTTGCCAAGCCAAGGGCACCAGGACCCCACCTTTGGTTGAGGTGTGATCCGGATGCCAAGTGGACCTCCCGGTCCCTGGAAGCATGGGGGCACATCCTCCGGGCCCCCCAGCAAATGGTCCTGCCCGAGTCGGCCCAATTTCCAGGAGCCTCAGGGCCCCTCCTGCCCCTCATAGTGAGTCTTAGCCCTCCTCTGTGCTTCTCCCTGGTGAGGCTTCCTGAGCAGCTGAGACAGCTCGTGTGGGGAGCCCTTCCCCTCACCACCCAGGCCCTTCTACCTTCTGGCTTCTGTGTCTCCTCTGTTCACCCTCCCCCCACCTCAGGGGCTCCCCTCTCTTCCCTCTCCCACCTCAGGGGGCTCCCCTCTCCTGTTTTAGAATCTAAAATCTCAGATCTCCCCTTTGTCCTACTCAGAACAACATCCAGCCTCCTGGAGGCCTTGGGGCCTAGGGGTCCCTTGAGAGGAGGTCCTCTCTCCTCAGCAAAGACAGTCCTTCCCCCCGCCCAGAGACATTATACCAGTCCCTGAAATGATGTTAAAAACTCCTTGTCACCACATTTATGTAAGTGTTCGAATTTAACCTGCGTGCGTATGTGTTCCTTTGACGTCTGTCCTGTTTGGTGTGTGTGGAGACAAGAAATAGGAGAAGGGCTGCTCTCTAGTTTTGGGCAACAACGTCCCCCTTCCCCTGTCTCCCCACCGATGTTTCCACTGTGGGCTGAGGTCCTCGCCAGGTGCCCAGGACTTTGGCCTTCCCACAGAACACTGCGTCGCTCCAAAGAGCTCAGCAGAGCGCGGGGCCTCTGGGAGGACTGGGGGAGGGGCACGGCAGAGCAGACAGGGCAGAGGTCACGGCTCAGATGACGGGGACTTGGAGATGATCTGACCCAGCAATTGATCAGATCTTTTATTGTGAGACAATATAAATGGGGTTTGCCGTTTTAACTAAGCTTGAGTGAACTGTTCAGTGGTGACCGGTTTTCATGGCTGAAGTGACACTTGTTCAGATAAAATCTTAAGCAGAAGCCTGATGTGAAACCGTTAAGGCACTGCTGCCCTGTGGAGGGCTGGGCCTCGGGCGGGGATGGGGGGGAGTGGGTGAGGTGCAGGGAGAGGAGGCTCCCTCCCACCCCGCCCCCGCTGCTCCCCATCAGGCATTTGGCCCCCTCACCCCCTGCCCTCCAGGTCTGGTCCCACCCTCCAGCCCCATATCCGCTTGGGGATCTCCAGCCACGGGTAAAGGCACTTTGGACAGTGGCTCATGGTGACGGACAAGAAGGTGCGAGGCCTGAGCCTGCCACAGAGGAAACAGATGCTTCTGAAGCATTGAGGGTGGCTTGTCCTGTGGGAGAAGGACTTGCTTCCTGGCAGAGCCCCACGGAGGCACATTTCTGAGGCCACCGGGCCTCACCCTCCGGGTCACCTCCGGGTCACCCTCCGGGACCCTTGTCCAGGAACGTTTGGCCTGAATAGGGCAAACCGGCTCCGTGGAACATTCCTGGAGTGTTGCATTTGCCCATTTGGATGAATTCCTCCTGACTTCCTCTGAGTGGAAGGCGGGTCGTGAGTGAATCCCACGGGGGAGACCCTCTGCCCCTGCCGGGAGGAGGTAGCGGGCGTGAACGAGGAAAGGGCCTGCAGGGAAGGAGGCCCCGTGACCTTGGTGGGCAGGTTGGGCTTCCAGCTCCAGACAGAAGCTCTCACTCAGGAGGAGCCTCAGGAGGGGATGTGGTCCCTCTGTCCTCCCTGCAGCGCACACGCCACACCCCCTGGCGTGCTCTCCAGCAGCACAGGGGACTTGGTGTGGCCCCGCTGGGGTCCATCGGTTTCCCGGAGAGCCAGCTGGGGCTAGAAGAGGCTGAGCCGAAGCAGGCCCTGCCCAGCCCGCACACACCAGACACAGTGCGGGCTCTGGGCGGTGACCAGGACAAAGGCGGAGGGCCCTGTCTCGTAGAACCTGGTCTCCCCTCCCTTGGCCCACCAGGGGTCTGTCCTGCTTTGGGCACTTTCTGGGTCAGAGGTAGAATATCTCTCAGGGTTCCTTGCGGCCGGTTGTGGCTGAGAGGACGCGGCAAACACAGACAAAGCCGCGGGGCCCTTTGGAGCCGAGGAGGGCCCGATGACAGCCCCCAAATCGCTTCCTGAGGGTCCTGGAGCCATTGTGCTGTGCTCTGCTGGTTTTCTTCGAAAACTTGAGACAGGCCCCGAGACTCTGGGCTTCCCCGGGAGTTTCTGGGGTTCAGTGCTAGGGTGGATTTTATAGCAAAAGAGCCAACATACTTGAAGGAGGGGAAAGAACCAGGCAGGAGGTTCTCTGCCCAAGTTGAAACCTGGTGAGGTTCAGGGTCACTGGCCGTCCGGAGCCTGCCCCAGGCCCCTGAAGCCACATACTCTGTGCTCGGCAGCAAGATGCCAACAGACACACTTCTTCACTTGACGCAGTCACCTTTTGGGGGGGGGGGACAGAAAAGTGAGCCCCTGAGCCTTTGCTCCAGGGACTGATCCTAGCTGCCTTGAAATGCATTGAAACCCTCCCGTCCCAACTGCCAGACGTCAAAAGCATCCTAAAACCTCTCCAAAGAAGGTAGAACAACGTAGGAGGCAAATATTGGAGGTTTGGGTGAGAACGCTCATCTTTAGGGAAGCCATGGGATGGCCGGGGAGGGCTCGGGAAGAGAGGACACAGAGAGCTGCAGGTGACCCCCGGAGACAGGCTTTCTGAGGGAATGCAGGCTGAGGACATGTTTTCCTGTTCGCTTTGGAATGCTGTCAACCCAGAACCACACAGAGACAGTGAATTGGGTAAAGGAGACCAGAACTGTCAGCCCGAGGCTGGTTTGCAGAAACTCATCGACTCAGTCAGCTTGAGCGCTTCCTCCCACAGGCTCAGAGGAGGAAAACAGAGCACAGGGTAAGTTCTCGGAACAAAGCGCTTACTTACAGCTCCACGAAAAGTCTCCACACCGAGTGAGCATATTTGCAGTCGGAAATCCCACAGCCGAGATTTCAAATCCTGCCTGGGCTTCACTAAGAACGCGTCACGGAGCTTCGCAGAACCGTAATCGAGGAGGGAACGTACTGCTCAGAAATGGAGGAGAAACTTCTCTTCCTGCGTGGAAACCACTCACAAGTGGGACTCAGACAGGAAGATGAACAAAGACCTGGAGGGAGACCTGGAAACAACCACCTCCTTCTATCAAAGCCTGTTGTCTCGAAAGAGGAGAAAGCTCCAGAAAAGTGGACAGCGGCCCCTCCCCAGAGAGAGGGCTCAGCGGGTAAGTGGAGACGGTCCCACAGACGCAAGCTGGTGGAGGCAGAGTTAAGGTCCAGCTTTTCCCAAGTGGCCTCTGGCCCCCACTCAGCCCAGGACAGAGGCCAAGGGACCAGGGGTTCTGGGGCTCCTCACGTCCCCAGGGGAGGAGGCTGGCTGAACCACGAGGGCTCAGGGACCCAGGCCACACCTGGGTGCCACCCACAGCACCAGGCCCCACATGTCCACACAGCACAACGCTTGCCCCATTTCTCTCTCTCCCTCTCTCTCTCTCTCTCAAAATAACTTGAAAAAATTTTTTGGGGCGCCTGGGTGGCGCAGTCGGTTAAGCGTCCGACTTCAGCCAGGTCATGATCTCGCGGTCCGTGAGTTCGAGCCCCGCGTCAGGCTCTGGGCTGATGGCTCAGAGCCTGGAGCCTGTTTCCGATTCTGTGTCTCCCTCTCTCTCTGCCCCTTCCCCGTTCATGCTCTGTCTCTCTCTGTCCCAAAAATAAATAAACGTT